ACTTCATATGAAAAAAAAAATGACACCAGATCTCAAAAATCATCCACAGATGAACTAAGGACTTAAATGCAAAAAGCAAACTTTCAGTTTTTTAGTGAAAATATAGGTAGCTGGTCTGATGTGGGGTGAGGTGTTTTATTAGCAAGGCATAAAAAACAGTAACTGTAAAAGACAAAACCAAATTAAGATCAAAAGAACTGTGACACTTAAGAGAAGGTATTTGTAACACATATTAAGAACCAGAACAATGTGAAGACAAATAACTAAATAGAAAAAAACAGCATGAAAAAAATAAATGGCTAATAAACATGGGAAGAGATACCTGACTTTAGTCTTAAACAGGGAAATACAAACAAAGACTATAATAAAACTTCATTTTACAACCAAACAACTGGCCAAAATCCAGAAGAATCGCACTAAGTACTGGAGAGGATGTGGTTCAAAGGGGTTTCTTTCTCATGTACTGTTGAAACAGTGTATAAGGTAACCACATTATAAGTGGATATAAAATTGTTTTCCAAAGTTGAGCATTCATATATTCTATACCTCAGCAATTCCACTCCTAAAGAAAATGTACACCAAGATACATGAATGAGAATCCTTGGAAAATCAAATTGCTGACTAGCGGTAAAGTCATCATGGGACAGTAAATTGAAGAGAAAAGGAATAAACTGCATTTAAAGACAATATACATACATTTTAGTGATGTCAAAAGAATAAACCCGGTGTGGATACATAAAACCCTCCATACACTGTTGGTGGGACTATAGAATGATCCAGATCTATGGAAAAAGCAGGATGGGGATTTCTCAAAATAATTAAAAGTAGATTCAGCATGTGATCTAGCAATCTACTCCCAGGTATCTACTAGAAAAATGCAAAAACACTAAATCAAAGGATATGTTCATTGCAGCCCTATTTATAATAGCCAAGTCATGGAAATGACCTGGGAGTGCCCAAGATGAGATTGTAACAGGGTGGTGCCAAGCAAAAAGGGGAGATTCCAGGTTCCTTGCCCCTCCTAGTTGAGACTATCAGAGGGGGAGGTGGTGGGTGGGGAGCAGAGAGGGATGAGGGCCAACTGGACTATGGTAGAGGATTATGGGCTTTTTAGTGGCGGGGTAACATACCTCTGAAGGGGTTGAATCTGAATCATATACCATGTTGGAAGTCAACATAATCTCAATGAAATAATAAATTAAAAAATACTTTGAAAAACTACATACAGCCAGATATTTACAAAGTTCAAAAATACTCTTATCTCATTTTTTAAAAGGTAATAGAATGAAGGAGGGGTAGAATCATGCACTGCTTAACAATATTTTAGAATTGGGCCTCCCTGGTGGCACAGGGGTTAAGGACACACCTTATTAAGTGATTGCCAGCCACTGCGACATGAGTGTGATCCCGACCAGGGAGCTGACCCACATGATGCAGCAGACCTCACCTGTCTTGCCCGCTGCTCCCCTCAGCAGTATATTTCAGTTGACCCACCTGTTCTGCTCCCCATGTCTCTGGTGAATCCTCTCATCTCCTACACCTCTGGCCTGTAGTTCTTGGATGCATAATTAAATAAATCTTTAAAAAATCAGTATTTTGGAATAACATGTACAGCAGTGGTCCCAAGAGTAGCACAGGTGAGTAGCAGTTTGCTACTCACAGGCTAGCCCAGTTTGCTTTGCTAATTACATTATCTGACATTTTCACAATGACAAAATCATCTAATGGCACATTTTTCAGAATGAATTCCCATCTTTATACTTGGTGAGGCAGGGAAGCCTACGTGGGTGGTAAAGGTTATTTCAGTTGTTTGTAGTCTTCCAAAAAAAATTGATGGGATATACTGGGTTTCCTTAGGAATACACAACATTATAACATATAAATAAAATGATATAAAATAAAATGGGCCATGCAAGAATGAGTGGGGACACTACAAATTGTCTATGCAACTAAGGTCTATCAAAAATGAAACAAAAAAATTTCACCCCTTTTCAAAAAACCTCAAGGGCTCCCCATTGTCTTAGCTTCTCATGGGCTGTAAGTTGTGATATCGAGATGCACCATATAGAAAAAAGGAAGGGGCAGGGGAATGAAGGGAGGAAGGGAGAAATAAAAAAGGAAAAGATGTAATTGCTAAGCTAATTTCAGCTCTCCAGAGAGTGACAAGTCATTCTTAAGATCCAAAACAATCTCTCTGTAAATTCTTCAAACACGGTGATAGTATTTGCACATTAAGTTGCTTTTTTTCTTACTTCTTTTGGTAAATTTCAAATCTCCACTATCCAATATGGCAGCCATGCCACAGGGGCTATTAATTAATATGACATAGAGCCACCAATTTATTTCCTTGGTCATGATTCCCACATCAAGTGCTCAAGGCAATGCGTGGCTACCGGCTACCAAATCAGACATCAGAAAAAGACATTTCCATCACCTGGGAAGGCCCTATTGAACCGCAAGGCTTTAAGCTCATCTGACAAGAAGGGACAAAGGAAACTGTTTGCAACTAAGTCAGGGTGAAGAAGTGACTGAGAGTCTGGGGGGTTGGCAGAAGGGACGACAGATGACTACAGTCAGAAGTAGAGAGCTCAGAAGCTTAACCCGCCCCCTGCGAGATTTTGCACCAGGCCCAAGGCTGACAGCTTATGGCAGAGACCCAAAGTGTGGCAGTCTGCCACACTTTCACACACACTGCCCTTCACCCTGGGGCTCTTCTTTACTGTTCTCCCTCCCTAACCCTCCCTATTGCCCCCACCCCAGCACTCATCTGCCCTGTCTTTCAGGTTTTGTTCGGAAGTAGTACTTCTTGGGAAGATCAGAGGAACTAACCCAAAAGATGGCAAAGCACAGTACTCAGGGATTCAAGACATCTTAGCTGCCATTTTTTTTTTTTTCTAGAACACTGAAAGTGGGACAGAGGTGTATTCTTGTCCCTCTTCAACCCCACCCTAGAAGGAAGGGTGAAATTCCTCAGAAGCAGGTATTACAGCAGGGGTCTTGTCCCAAGTAGACTTTTTCCAGTCCAAGTTATCAGCCAGAGTCAAAAGCCTCAGACCATCATAGCAAGTAAGGTCTTTGAGGCAGCCTAAGCACAGATGAAGAAACTGAGTTTTGAGGTGGGGAAGCAACCTGCAAAAGTTCACACAGCCAGGAAGCAGGGACAGGCCCTCCAACTTCCCAGGGTCTCATTCTGCCCATAAAGCAAGTGGGTTCCTTAGAAAGTGCTACATTTTCATGTCTATGCTCAGTGACACTTGTGTCTCCCCAGAACAGCAGGGATCCCCACTCCTCTTCTCTCTCACAGGCCCTGGCACAGAGCATAGTGATTTGAGGTGGAAACTGTGCCAGAGAGCACCTGAAGTGGCCTGAATGAGGGGGCTGAGCCTGGCAGCCAGCTGGTTCATCAGGTTCAGTCCTTTCCTGGAACCCAGCCTGCCTTTCCACTCCAAGGAGCTGTCTGGAACAAGGGTTTAGCTCCCCTGGGCCAGTTGACCCAGGTCAGTGACCAGTAGACACTGGAGGAGAAGGTTGGCCAAGGATCCCCCAGCACCTGTGGCTTCAGGTAGCTCTAAACAGTGCCTGTGGGCACTGACCTTGTGTCCCCAGCACAGGACCAAACACAGAAGGCTCTCCAGAGAGTATTTACTGAACCAGAAAATGCAGCTGAAAGCTGTGGCTTGGAGATCCCAAACAGGGGGGCAGGGTGAGGCACTCGACAATAAATAATAGAGAACCTTATTTTCCTCTGATTTCATCATATATAATCACATAGCAAAGTTCTGACTGACCTTGCAGTCAGACTTCTAGACTTCTACACTTAGAAACAGCACACAGAATACTTGCCATGGGCGGGCAGAACCTTCTCAGGTATGTGCTTCATTCAGGAACTTAGAATGGATTTTGAAAGGTGCCCTAGGTTGCACTGCTAATAAGAGGCACAGCTGAGATTCATACAGCTTGAACATCAGAGATGGCACTTTGAACCACTCTTCCTCCACTCAGCAAACATCAGTAACTACATGTCAGGGTGGTCCCAGGTGCTGAAGTACATGGTTGTGAACAAAACCTACTCCATTGTCCTGACAGTTTTTTCGCTAGTTAATGAAAGACAACTCAACAATAGCAAAATATATAACCAATCACATGATGTGTCAGAACAGGGGTCACCACACTCTTTGTTAAATGCCAGAGAGTAAATATTGACTTCAGTGATCATTTGGTCTGTTGCAACAACTCAACTCTGCATGGCCAGCCATGAGAAATATACAAATGCGTAGGCAATCAAACTACTGATGGACAGTGAACCGAGGATTTTATATAATTTTTCATGCATCATTAAATAAATATTAGTTTTAGACTTTTTCCCCAATCCTTCACAAACATAAAAACCATTACTAGTTTGCAGGCTGCATGAACACATGTGGAGGTCCAGATTAGGTCTCTGGGCTGTAGGTGAGGTGGCCTTGCCACCTCCTGGTGGCTGGGGTGGCTGGGCTCCCCTTCCTTCCTCCCTGGCCTTAATATCCTTCAGACTGTGTGTGTGTGTGTATGTTTGTGCTAAGAGTACAAGAGATGACATATGAACAGAAGGAGATGACATATGAACAGAAATCTCAGTGAGAGAATCATTGAGCCCTATGTGCCAGCAAGGGGAGCATGTGCAAAGGCCCTGTGGTGTGACTGGTGGGGAGTATGAGGTAAAAAGGCAGGCAAGAAATAGAGGTCAGTAGGAGCCAGATCACGAGAGCCTCCAGGCCCTGGTGACAACTTTTATCTCACTATAATAGCAAAACTGGGTTCTATATCCCTGGCAAGTTAGTGAACATCTATGCTGTGTCAAAATCACTTCACTTTTGTATTAAAATAGGAATAACAGTCCCTCACCTGTCTGAGCAGAATGTTGTAAATGAACATTAGCTGCTGATATAAACAGTAACACCAGAGTCCAGCTGGAGAAGGAAGGGGCTGGGAGAAGGGATGACAACTTGAGTCAAACTCACCCACAATGTCCACCACATCTGGCCGGATGAGCGGCTCTCCTCCTGTGAGCCTGATCTTGTCTACACCTTCTTTCACAAAGAGCCGAGCTAGGGTCAGGATCTCCTCCGTGGTCAGTAGATCAGCCTTGGGGGTCAGTGGGACACCCTCTTCAGGCATGCAGTATTGACCTGAAAGGAAGGGAGGGGACGTAGAGGAAGGAAGTGAGGACACAGCAGACAGGTCCGGATATCCCCAGTCCTTAACTCACCCACTAGGCCAGAAGTTTTTACCAAACCCTATCCAGTCAGTGAGGAGAAACCTTGACCTCACCTACAGCTGAGGTGCTGTAAACCCTACGCCATTTTCTCTAGGCCTCAACTTTCTCATCTCTAAATGTTAGCCCTTCCTTCCTCCCTGGCCTTAATATCCTTCAGACTGTGTGTGTGTGTGTGTTTAGGGTGGGGCGGCAATTAGGAGAATAGGTGGAGCGCAGAGCTTGCCTGAGTTGGGAGGATGCCAAGATGCTGATTCCTTCTGGAAGGAATGGGCCCAGAGCCCTGCCAGGTGCACCCTTGCCCTGTCACATTCACCCTCTTCATTTCATCTGGCAAAGTTATCCTTCACGGTGAAAGAGGCAGGAGAGTATGCTTAGGCCTGGTAAAACTCCTCTCCTCTGTAACTAAATAGCCAGCCTGTTTTAGATTCTTACCATTCAAAAGGCAGGAAAACTGAGGTACTACTTTGAGGTGAGGTGGCAGAATGTGGTAAATGAGGTGAGCCTGGCAGGTGAGGGGCACTATCCTGTACCATCAGTTCATAAGGTACAGTTGTTATAAAGATCTGGGCAGAGAGAGGGTCATTTAGTGACATGAATGAAGGGCTCAGAAATGATCTTTTTAGAACAGGTAAGAATATCAGAATACCAGTACTGTATGTAGTGAGGGGCATTTGGTTAAACACTGACTGAAACACCCACAGATGGATTTATAGGACTATAAAGCAAATGGATTTCTTATTGGGAGCTACTACAGGGAGTAAGAAGAGAGGGAGGGAGGGAGAGGCAAATGAACTGTGGACGTCCATCCAGCAGTGGCTACAACCAGAGCCCTCAGGGTGGATTATGAAATGAGGACTCTGTGTCTGCTTGACCCCCAACCACTTCTGTCAGTTGGCACAGTTTACAGGCACTATGTGTACTTTACACACTTACGGTGTCCAGTACCCCACACCCTGCCCTGGCCACGGCCTGAACTTTGGAAACTGCAGAGAAACCAAGGGAGAGAGAAAAAGGCCCCAAAGAGTGAGGTCAGATTAGATTGAGTCCAATCTTAATCCTAAACCCAACAGCATTTCGTTGTCAAATCTAATTCCAAGTAGAACCCAGCTTCCAGGATCATAAAGCTTAACCTTGACCTCTTTATCTTGCTCCTGAACCCCACCTGGAAAAAGAGGGAGTAAAGGTAGGTGGAGAAGTTTGAAAAAGGAACTGGCAGGACTGAGAAAGATTCCTGAGTGTGGAGAGGTTTCTCCACACTGGAGCCCAGAGAGGGCCCGGAAGGTGACTTACATCTGAGGTTGCACTTCTCGGTGAGGGAGATCCGCAGGTAGCTGTGCTGGCGGCCAAAGCTGTCGGTGAGGAAGTCGGAGAAGGGGGCTGCATGCTCGTGTAGGAACTGCCTCCTCTGGGACAGCTCCTGCAATGATTGGGGTGTGGGGAAGGGAGAAATGTGGATGGGGAGAGAGTTCCCCTTCAAGCAACCACCCTCATCACTGACATCTATTTAGCACCTCTAATCTTCCTCTGTGGACTCCACCGTCCTGAGGAAGCTGGGATTGAAACAGCACAGTGGGCTGGAGTACTGCACTGTGAAGCTAAGCCAAGCCATGGCTGCTGTGGTGAGAGTTTGATCCCTGGCCCTGGAGGTGACCCACATGGCTCAGCAGACTTCTCCTGCCTTGCCCACTACTCCCCTCAGCAGTGTATTTCATCAATCTGCTGGTTCTGCTCCCCACACTGTTTCAGGTGAATACCTTTGCCACTCCTACACCTCTGGCCTAGACCCCACTTCTGTATGCATAAATAAATAAAATCTTTTTTTTAAATAAAAGAACTAGGCCTGAACTATCCCCAAGGTCCTGACACGGCCAGCCAGTAGAGGAAAAAGGGAGTCTAGAGGCGGTCATTAAGAGCGTGCTTCAGTCATCCTGCACTCTACCCAGAGCCACAAGGAAGGATCAAACGCCCACTGTTTGGGGCCTAAGGGTTGGAAGCCACTGTAAGGCCCAAACTTGTCCTGGGGAGAGAAAGGAGCTGTCAACCTCACTCTTTCCCAAGCTTGATCTAATCTCATCTCTTCCCTCTTAGAGATCCCAGGTCATGACAGATGCTGATGAGATAATTGCCCCATAGAAATCACTTTTGAAAAGCATTTTAAAGTTTCCAAAGAATGTTTTATAACTAAGGCTAGGCTGGGGTCCAAGAACACCCTTGGAAGAAGCAGGATCAAAATGCAGGTTCTTCTCATTCCAAGGTCTAAATCCTTTTCTCTAATTGTACAGGGTGAGTCCAGAAGGCTTACATAGGACAGCACACAGGGTGGGAAGAAGTTGTTGCTTTAGGATCTTTAGAAAAAGAAACCATGGCCTTAGTGTATAGTCATGTGGTCTAAGGACAGGGATCTACACTGAAGGTGACTGGTTTCTGGCCCAGGTATGACTTGACATACCAGGAAAGTTCTTTTAACTCATGCAGGCCCTGTTTTTCCAGTTGTAAAATAAGAACAGTTATGGACTAAGGTTGTCTTGCTTAAGACAAGTTGAATAAAAGGCAGAGGTGGGAAAGAATGGTGGCTCTTGGGTCATGAAGCTAGCAGGTAACTGCTACTAGAGGAATCACAGAATAGGAGGCCTATTCAGCAGAATACCCTAAAAGAGTTAATGCCTCCAACACTTCTGAGGTCCTGTGTATCTGTTCACCAGGAGGAAGAACAGGTAACTTTAGCTGTGGGTGAGCATGGGGACCACCTAGCAAGTGTAAGAGATTAAAAACTCCCTTGGAAACTAAGTGAATTTAGATCTTTGGGTGCCTGTGTGGTTAATCTCTCCAAGTAATTCTAAGGAGAAGCCAGGGTCAAAGTCACTGCTTAACTCTAAGGATAAAAGGGATCTGAGAGAGAAAGATTGGCTGGTGCTTCTAGGACTTTGCTGGGTCCATACAAAACAGACCTCACACCACCCACACTGTAACTAGTTTCACATGTCCACTGAGAAGCCCTGCTCACTGTCTCATGACCATAAACAGCAGTCACCACTTGGGACTGCAGAATGCTATAAACATGCCAGTTTCACCTCTCCATTCCCCTCTGTCTGTCTTTGGGAGCTCCTTAGGTCACCAGAGTCCACATAACAGGGAATCTAGATTTGTGACAGTTGTACCTTTTTCTCCATTTGTAATTCAGCAATCTGTTAGTCACTCCAGACCCCACCCCCTTATTTGCCAAGATATCCCCCCATTCTAGCCCTAACATATTGGGGGAAGGTGGCTAGGTGACAAAGAGCCAAAACAAATCCAAGGAGTATGACTCAGCAGAAGTCAGACACAAGCATGTAATGGGGCAATCGGCAGTGAATCAGGCACTCAGTTCAGGCTACGGGAGGGGCGGGTCAGATTTCACTTTTGAGATCTGGAGAGACCTTATCTAAATTCATTCAGACTCTATACACATACACGCACACACATACACGCGCACGTCGATATACCCCCTCACCCTGCTAGGCATGCTAATAAATCTCTTGGGTTTTAACAACCCTCATCTCTGCCCTCTGCCTCTTCTCGCCTCCAACACTGCATGGCCTACTTTTCGTTCTTAGATCTTTTTTCCCTTTCCTTTAAATCTCCTGAAGGAAAACATAACCCATTGTCACCAGTCAAAGGAACCTTGGATCCAGAAGGAATTAGCAAGCAGGGCAGCGACCCCTCACCCTGAAGGGCTGGGGCATTTCAGGAGAACCCCTCAATTGTTCATACCCCTGATGGCGTAGGCTGTTTCCTAGAATGGAAAGCCCTCCTGTCTCACTCACTAAGGACACACTGTAGACACTGAAATACCAATTATCTAGCCACTGTATCAATGAACTAATAGGCCTGCCTCTGATCCAAAGAGAAGGCATATGAAAGCCTGGTTACTCTGGAGTAATTATTAATTTCTGGCCGGGCCTTGACTGTCAACATGGTTTAGTTTAGTGCAATGGTTTTTAAATCTGCATCAGACTCTTTGGTGTTCTTCAGGTGATGCGGATGTGCTACCAGGGTTTCAGTCCAGGGATTCTGACTCTCCTAAGCTGGGGTGAAGCCCCAGATTATTTCTCTGTAGCCCCCACAGGGAAGCACTGCCTCAGTGACACCAGGATCAGGGGTACTTGATGGGCTCCTTTTTTTTGTCGGTTGAAAGATTTATTTATGTATGTGTACAAGAACTGGAGTATAGACCAGAAGTGCAAGGGGTGAGAGGATTTACCAGAGACAGAGCTGGGAACAAAACAAGCAGACTGACTGAAATCCACTGCTGAGGAGAGGTCTGCCTTGCCGTGTGGGTCACCTCCTTGGCTGGGGTTCAAACTCATGCTGCAGTGGACAGCTTCATAGTGCTGCGCATTGACCCCTTCAGCCACCAGGGAGGGCCCGGTAGTCGATGGACTTCTGAGCACACACTGCAGGAGTAGGTCAACCTGACTAACCTGGCTCTGTTACAAGTCAGCTGTTAAGCAAAGGAGCTAAGTTCTTTAAGCTTTAATTTCCTTGTCTGTAGTAAAGTGTGGGTAATAACACTACCAGTTAATTGGAGGAGCTCCTGGAAAGGAGGTTTTCAATCATTTCATTGTTATTTACTTAATATAATTCTTACATATAGTCATTTGCCAAACAAACATTCACAGAGAACACTAGCTGTGTTTGCTGTGACTTTTCCCATTCTTGTCAGCTTCCCCTGTCCTGGCCTTGCCTCAAGGAAGGTTCTGGCTTTCCAACTCTTGTTTCATAGCAGATAGCACATGGCTGGTGCTTTCTGACCTGCTGTCACAGCACCCAAAGCAGGCCCTGGGAGTCGGAGCTCCGGAGGCCCACAGGCACTAGTGATGGTAAGTAGGCACTAGGCAGCCTGCCGTATGTCGCTGGTTATCTCTTGGCTGCCTACCCAGTGCAGATGAGGGCAGGGCTGGGTGGGGAAGGGTGGCACAAAGGAGTTAGTCACTAACTACTAGGGGAGGCACTTGGAAGGCTGGGCCCCTCCCTTAACTAACCAGGAGCGTTTGACTTGAATGATACTTACCAATAGTTCTAGTATAGTAACAGAGTAGCGGGATTATTATGTAGAAAACAAGCATGTGCCAAACTCGAATATCAGTGGCCCCAATTTATTTGCTATTTGGGATGCATACTAGCACACTTCAAAATTAATCTCTATTCAGTGAGGGCTTAGCAAAGGACTTAAGCCTACCTCTCCCCTCTCCCTCCATCTGTGCTTACTAGGAGCGTAAAGTTCTAGATCTCTGGCTCCTGGCAAAGACATACTTCACTGGAAGATTTTTGAGGAGCTGGGCATGTTGGAAGTCAAGAAAAGCCCTGAAAGGCCAACTTTCTCTCCAGGTGCCACTGCCTCACTCCAGGCACTGTAGTCCTCCTCACTCCTTTCTGTTCAATCTCTCATTTCCAGCACTTATTCTCTCAGGCCCACTAACAGCTGGTTGTCTTTACCTTGTAGTTACCCTGGCCCCTGTCCTTGTTCTTGACCCAAGGTAGCAGCCCAGGACCTCAGACCACTCCCTTGGTGCCCCAACAAAACATATCTGCAGCCCAAGTGGGAAAAAGAGGGGTGTGTCACTTCTGATTAGAATAAACTCTAGAAATAATATTGTCCCGGCTGCCCCAATCAGGTAGGCAGGTAGCTTTGGCATCCTCCCCACCTCCCCACCTCCTCACACATACCTCCCTCCCCTGCCACATGTAGAAGCTGCTCAGTCTGTTAGCAGATGAAGCCCGAGGTTCCTTAGCTGCCCTCTGCCCTCATAGCCATCTCCCACTTCATACTTCCCACCTCTCTCCGTCCCAAACCCTGACACTCAAGCCACACCCAAGTCTTTCCCCTTTCTCTCTCAGCACCTCCCATCCCCAATGAGACCTCCACCCAGGAGCATAGTGCTTGCAGGGAAGAGCACCCTGGAGGGGCTAAGCACACACAGCTCCAGGCCTTTCACCTCTGAGATTCTCTTGCATGTTCTGTACTTTCCCCTGCTGCATGAAGATGGGCTGGTCTAACTCTCTTGGTTTTAAAGAAAAGGAGAAAGGGGAAGTGACTATTTCAGGAGCCAGGAGGAATTAGGGCTCTACTATTTCAGATGGCCCCTCACTAACTGATTTTCAGTCATAAGCATCTGCTGACTCCACCACTGACAGTAGGATGTTAAGCACTTGGGAAAATATCCTCAAAGCTGGGGGAGCGTCCAGTTGGCTAATGACATAGTGCTTACCTGTGACAGGCTTTGCTCTAAGTTTACATATTAATTTATTTAAATCCTAAATCACCCTGTGAATAAGATACTATTATACTCACTTTACAAATGAGAAGACTGAGGTCCTACAGTGCCAGGCCTTGCTATGCTTCACGTAGTAAGCAGTAGGTTTGGGATTCAAATCCAGTCATTTGTTCCAGAGTCCCTGTTCTTAGCTGCTAACTATCCCGCCTCTCCTATTGGAAAGAGGTGAGGCCCCCTTTGTCCACAGGGAAGATGCAGGAGCACAGGTGCTAGTTTTGAATTGCTGCTTCCTTGTTTAACAACTCTGTGACTGAGGAAAATACTTACCTCCCATGGTTAACTGTGGGGACTTAATGAGACCACATATGAAGTCACTTAAACAGGGCCTCTCAGGAAAGATATGAAATAAATTGGGCTGTGGTGGGGAGAAGAGAGAAGAAACTTCCCTTTCCCTGAATTCATTAGTGATCTCTCAGCAATTTTTCAACTTCACTGGGGGAAAAAATGAGAAAGTAGAGTTCAAGGATACTGAAAAACTTTTCTAGTTTGCAGCAATGGGGTCTGCTTATTTGAAGAATCCAGAGGGGAATGAGGTTTGAAGAAAGCACGGTAGATTGACACCTGCAATTGAACAACGTGTAGAGGGTGGGAGGAGGTAGTGAAGAATATGGAGGCCTTGTTCTAGGAGATGCAAAACAAATCACCAGATTGGTCTAGAAAAGAGGTTTCACCAACTAAAAAGAGATGTTTCTCCCAAAAGTATTCCCTGACCTTACGGGCAAACAAAAACAAACTAAAATACTATTATGCCATGAATCAGACAAAGGAAGGGGCACAATCAAAGACTGAGGGGATCGCCCCCAACCCTGAAGAGACAGGAAGCCCTGCTTTAGAATGAGGCTGAACCATCCTCCTGGAGGAAAGTGAGGAGGAAAGAGTCAGGGAAGGACAGGTCACACAGCCCGGCGATTACAGAAGTGACAACTGACTAGTGGTGGCAACAAGGTGACATTTTTAGTCAGTGTCACACTATTGAAGCAGTGTCACAAAAACACCTGATCACAGACACCCTCCATTGTGGGAGACAGAGGAAGAGGTTTAGAAAGAGGCAGGGTGTGAGGCATGGCTGAGGCGGGGCACCAACAAAAAAACCTCATGCACCCAAAGTCCTAGCTTCCCCCGCCCCCAGCCCTCACCACCACCTCTGGGAATTACCTGCCACCAGGAAGGGGGTCCCAAGGCTGCGAGACCCCAAGAAGCCCCTCTCAGCGGAGTATTAGGTGAGACTGGGTAGTCTCTCTGAAAAACATCATTCCACCACTCCTCCCCGATTCCCAATTAAGGAACCCCAATTAAGTGTCGGGGGTCGGGGGGCAGGGAGGCGCTCCAGCTCCCAGAGCGGCCTCTGTGGATGGGCCCGGATGCTTCTTGCGGAAGGGACAGCTTGTCCGGCTGCCTCCTCTCCACGGAGATATGGATGCAGGCGGGCTCACCTCTGTGACAGGTTGGGAGGACTCCCCGGGGCGGGGCTGCGTCACCGGAGCTCCCGAGCTGCAGCTTCTCGTGCTGCTCCTTAGAACTCCCCGCAGCATCCGGGACACCGGCCATGCCGCCATGAAGCCCGTTCGCTGGGTCGTGAGTCCGCTGGATAGCCGGTTTCGGGAGCGCACTAGCCCGGGACTCAGTGCCCTGGGTCATCGCGGCCGGGGCGGGGCGGGGCGGGGGCAGGACCCACGCAGCCAATCGGCGAGGGCGCCGCGCCGCGCGGCCTTCTGGGAGTTGTAGTGGCAGTCCTCTGTTCTTTTCCTGATCTGGTAAGCTTACTAAGGCTTGGAAAGTACAAGTTTAAGCTGATCTTTTCTTTCTCTCTTCTCTGGCTTCTCTGGTTCTCGATTTAGAACGTGGTGTGATTGACAATAAAGTGCTTTTGGCAAGGCAGAACGGGGGCTAGACAATGAAGCATTGCCTTTCGTGCAAATTTTAAGGATGCACCAAAATACGCAGTTATCAAGGTGATCTTTCTTTCTTTATTAAAGTGTCAGTCTTTTTTTTTTTTTTACGATTTATTTGGCGCAGGGCTGGTGAGAGGCTTCGCCAGAGACGGAGAAGGGAGCAGAACAGGCAGATCGATAAAGTACATGCTGAGGGGGAGCAGCGGGAGAGACAGTAGAGGTCCGCTGCACCCTGTGGGTCACCTCAGGGACTGGGGATCGAACTCTCACTGAAGCAGCTATTGCTATCTTGCAGTGCTGCATCCTAACCTATTGCACCACCAGAGAGGGCCTCGAGATGATATTTCAATGCAATATTTTAAAAAGCCAGACTCAATGCCAAAACAACAACAACAAATAATTGATGATAAACAAAATATTAACATTTTATATAGAAACACCCTCTCACCCTGAAGGTAAGTCATCTGGCATTACGCTTAAAGGGGGAATACATGGGAAGAAGTTATGGCATGGTGTGTAGGTAGCATTCCAAAAATGATACCCACTCTAATAAGTACCATTTGTACTACAAAAGCATCATTACTTAATGTCAGCCCTTGTAGACAACATCATCTGGGTCATTGGGCCATTTCCACCCATCTGCCCAAATACACTTGGGTTCTTCTAGATCCTTTGTGCAAATGTGAGCATTTAAATTAAGGAATGAATCAATGTCTTATATATTTCCCTGTCCAGGGTCCTTTTTCAGAATACTCTCCATTTCCCTTGCCAGTTCTACTCTCCACTTTCTTCACCCTGTTTTGAGGACCAAGAAACTGTACTGAAGGCGCCACACAGACATTCTTGTCTGATTTCTCTTTTCTTCTGTGCCTTGATTTGACCACGCATGTGCAGTAGATCAGAGATATTGTTCTCTGTCCACTGCTCTGGCCTCTGGGCCATGAGTCCAGTTCTTATTAGGTCCAGTAACACCATTTCTAATCTTTGTTTCTTCAGATTGGGTGTCCCTTTTGTCAGATGTAGATGCCTTAATATCCCCGTTGATCTTCTAATACTACTCTCACCTTAAAAATGATTCCTTTCAAAGATGTGGTACATATATACAATGGAATATTACTCAGCAACCAAAAAAGAGAAACACATGTCTTTTGCAGCAACTTGGATGGAATTGGAAAAGATCATGCTTAGTGAGATAAGCCAGAAAGAGAAAGAAAAATACCGGATGGTTTCACTCATAGCAGGAGTATAATGGACCAGGTGGAAAATAACAAAAATAATGAACAACCATATACCAGAGACATTTTGTGGAGGTGGAGTGGGGAATGGGATCAAAAACGGGGTGGGGGGAGGGAAATGCACGGGATTATGGTGATGGCACATGGGTGACTTGGTGATGGGAAATCCGCGGGGATTACAATTGAGATGGAAAAAAAATGTACAAAATGATGTAAAAATAAACTTTTGTAATAAAAAAAATTAACATGTTCTTGAAAAAAAAAAATGATTCCTTTCAAAATCCTAACTCAGTGTATAATTTCTTGGTGGTTCCATGAGTGAAACCAGCAAGGCCTTCTTCCTTCTACTGTATCATAGACTGACCTTTGTTAATGGTAGCAATTATAATACAATGACAGAATTTGTTTATGTGACTTCTGCACAATTAACCCTTTGAGGACTGGTAACACAGCTAAATCATCAGTCATCCTATCATCTTTTGTAGAATTTAATGCACAGTAGGTTCCCAGTAAATGCTCATAAAATGGTAGAATTTATGTCTTAGATTTGTATTTTCAGTGAGTGGATATAATGGTCTAGATTGAAATGTTGGAGTTGTTGGCTGTAAAGCACAATGACTAAAAACCACACATGTTTACTTCTCAATCAGTACCCAGCCAGAACTTGTTTCCCATCAATGTTGTCCTCACTAGGGGCTCAGACTTATGGACTGCTGCTATTTATCAATATATAAGACATTAGTGATCACCAAGAAGGAAAGAGTGTGGAAAAGAACAAAGTGACTCTTATATGTAGCCATGTGATTTGCTTGGAGCTATGTATTACACAGCTCCAGGGACAAGTTTTAATTTCAAAAAGAAGAGAAGATTAGCTTTCAACAGAGGGAAAGCAGACACTAGTGAATAGTAATCTGACCACAGGAACGCACTTTCCCGTATGCTCAAACATATCGTGTAGGCATCGTCATTGCCCTGGACAACTCTACCCTTTATTTATCCATATCATTCCCATTGCACATGGAGGACAGCCATGGCAACTTCTGCATTTGCACCAAACTCCAGAGCCACAAAGGGCTAATTCTAGTACTTCCTGTTTTAGAGTATGACCGCTAACATTAAAAGGAAGAGAGTTTGTAATGTCTCTTTAATTCAGTCATTCTCAAAGTTTGAGTTTCTAAGGTCAGCACTATGTTCATAATAATACACATTACTTGCTTTTTCCACTCTTATGCTGCTATGAGTGTATGAAGGGATTTTCCATGGGCTACACAATGAGTGATTTCACAACAGATTGACTGTAGCAGCAGATATGAGAATCTAGCTTCCTTATACTAAGCCTGTTATAAATAGATGTATAAAAATGCAGCCATAATGCCATCACTCCCCCTATATATATATATATATATATATATATATATATATATATATATTTGCTTTGGAAATTAGTCATTTTAATATGTGTTTTGTGAGCATGTAATGGATATGGGTGGCTTATTTTACAATGAGTTAACTTTTTTTTAAAGATTTATTTATTTATGCATACAGAACTGGGCTACAGGCCAGAGGTGCAGGGATGGTGAAAGGATGCACCAGAGACAGAGTAGGGAGCAGAACAGGCAGACTGACGAAGTACACTACTGAGGGGAGTAGCGGGCAGGTCAGGAGAGGTCTGCCGTGCCATGTGGGTCACCTCCGGGGTGGGGATCAAACTCATGCTGAAGTGCCTTTAGCTTCTTAGTGTTGTGCTTTAACCCCCTGCACCACCAGGGAGGGCCCAAGATGAGTTAATTTTTATAACTTCTCAGTTTTAGTTTCTAATGCAATAAATAAATGTCTAAAATGACATAGTAGACATTATTGATACGTGTGTGTGTATATATATATCTATACATACACACACACACACACATAAGTATACACAAGCAAAAACGCAATACTCTTCGGGGTCTTTATGCTTTTTAAGATTATAAAAGATTCCTGAAAGAAAGTTTGCAAGTGATTGCTTTAAAATGTACTCCATGTTATCTGGAGGCCCAGAGTCTTTTTTATCAAGATTTATAATTGCTCTTTTACCTCATCCTCCTCCACAAATCACTGAGAAGAAATTAAAATAAACTCCTTCCAGCTCCCTTATTTCCCCATGTACCTGGAATAGACCGTTACTAAGGGGACAGTGATGGGATGGTAGCTTCAGGGGTCTTCCTAGCAGATTAAGTTCAAATGAGGAGTCCCACACGGGGAACCGACCACAGCTTTCACTTGTAATCTCTTCCAGTTAATCATTTCCTCTCTACTTATTTAGTTCCATAAACGGAACTTCATTTTACAGGGCAACCCTGGGGGAGATGGAGGTTACCCAAGTGGTCATCCATCACCAGCACACTGAAGAACACAAAGGAAGACACTCAAAATGCAGATAGAATTTTTTTTTTTTTCTTTTGGTACAAGAGGGTGAGAAGTTGGGGGTGGGGTGGGGAGCAAGACAGAAAGAGGGGTTAAACGACTGACGCATGGTCAGATACATACTGTCCTACTGGCAGTGTTATCTGAAGCAGCTTTGTGAGTGGAAACTAGGAAAATAAGCGTGAATGCACCTGTTCAGCATTTTAAGCCCAACATGGCCACTTAGCTCAACCTCTAGTTCCCAGCATCCCCTGTTCAAGAAGTCAGGTCCATGGCATGCTGGGAATTATAAATCTTGGTGTGGCAATGGAACTGGAATCTGGAAAGACATCGGAATGTAGAGTTTATTCAGGTTGTATTCATTGGCTCAGAATTTATTCCTTACTCAGTAGAGATAATTAAATCATAACGCAAAAGCAAGTGTTCTGTTATTTTTTATGATATTGTTTGGGAGTGTCACTGAAATCATTCTTTCCCCACATGAAAGAGATCATGACAATTAATTCCTTTAGGTCCATTAAGCCTCCAGAAGAGATTTTGTTAGAATTAGCTACCCGCCCCCCTCACCCCCCAGGTATTTGTGGGTCCATCATCAACCATGAATATCTCAGATCAAATTAGTTTAACTTATCCAAAAATAGGTATCCAAGAGCAATAAAGGGAAATAGGGTAGGTATAAAAATAAGTTGGAAAGATTGAAAAGGCACAGGATTGCAAAGAAGGATAGATCCTAACAGAGTTCTGATTACCAGAACTCATTAGGTAAGGTGATGAAAGACAATGGACTTCAGGTCATAATAAATACTCAGAAATTACTGAAGGGAATCCTGAGAACTTTGGTAGGTAATTAGAAGTTCCTTACTAGATTTTTGTATACTTCAGGTTCATCCCTATCATGAAATCACTCTGAACTATTTCTCTTACTAATTTCCTTCTGAGTGTATAGTGGTTTTAAATAGGTCCATAAATTCCTTAATACTGCTTACTTCAAAAGGTGGAGCCTTATTCTCTTCCCCTTAAATGTTGGCTAAACTTTAGAATTCTGGTAAATAGAATGTGGTAGAAGGTATTAGGTATTAGTCTTCTAAGGATGGTTGATAAAAG